TTTTCAATTAAACATAATAAAGTAAAATCTCTGTCAAAAGTGTATATCAAACATGTGTCAGCTTTTCCCGCTCCCSCTCCTCTCCCCGTTCTCGTCCAGCTTGTCAAAAATAACTAGAAAGAAGTAGAAAAAGAAATATATTTTTTTCTTCTTTGGTACCTTAAGATCCWAGTAACGATCCTGGAGCAGGTGGCCCAGGGGCAGGTTGACCACTTGCCCAAGCCATGTTTCCATGTTGTCCCTTTTCCCTCCTTTTCCTAGAGGAAATCTGTGGGGATAACAGGCTCTGGGGAGATTTCCCAGCCTTGTGCAAACRTCTGAGAGCTCAGGAGGGACATTTCACTTCCACCCTTGGAGGACTCATCTCCAGGGCTCAGTCCCTGCATGCCTGGAGGAGCAGCAGGACAGAACTCTTTGCTGTCAATGGTAAGCGGTGTCGGTCCTAAAACCCTGGAATCTCGCACTGGGCTCTCTCGGGAGCCATCTGGTTGATACTGGACTTGGGAAACTTATTTGGAAAAGAGAACCAGCCTTCTCATTGCCAGAGAAATTTTGGTGGAATATAGCCATATTTAATCAAAAACGTTCTGTTTTAGCTGTTGTTGTTTTGAAGATTTTTTGAGGGAGCGGGGCAGATTGGTTAGCACAGAGAACATCATTTACAGAAAACAAGACACTGGAAGAAGAGGAAAATCTTGCCCAGATGTCCTCAYCTCTTAGGTACACCGGGATGCAGAGAAGTCCTACACGATGGGTTGCAAAAGCAGCCTCTGCTCTGACCTGCAGAAGTGGCATTTGCAAAAGCGGCACCACCAGTGCAAAGACCCTCCGGTGCTGGGAATTTCATCTCTCGCTCTTGGAGATGTTCCTGCTCTCTGCAAAAGCCATGAACGTGCTGGGACGTTGGGAGGGAAGGATGGGCTAAGATCTTAGAACATCGTCCCTGGAAATAGTAACCCATCAAATGCGTTGGGAATCTCCTGGAATAATCCTCCCTAATGCACGCGCAGGAAATCCATTCTGTGCTTTAGTGTTTAATCCAGAAAGCTCCAAGGAGGCGGAGGGAAAGGTTTGAGAGACACCATCAAAAGAGAGCAAAACCTGACTGTGCACTGAGGGAGGGGAGAGAAGCTGGGCTCTGAAACTGGCTGTGAGGATAAGAGGCTCTCAGCAGCCTATAAACMTGGGCAAGGCTCTGAACAAGGCCACTAAATGCTTTTATTTACTCATATCCGAGCTTCTGGTTCTGCATTCAACCTGTCTCTGGTCTCTCTGGTCCCCTGCGCGATCACTACAACAAGCAGTTGACCTAAAAACTGCAGGTTTTTTTATTAGAATAGCAGGTTTTGTAGCAACTGCTCTCTGGTTCCGTTTGCATCCTGAACAGCTTTGTCCGTCTCCATTAAACCTGTGGCGTTGTTTAACTAAGTAATGAAATGAATTTGAGTATTCCCAGATATTCCAGTATCCCAGAATAAGTTTAAGCATTCCCAGGTATCTTCAGACACGAAAGCACCATTGGACAAATATCATTGCTCCTAAAATATTGCAGTGTTGTTAACACTTCTGGATTGGAAGCTGGGTTGGCTGCAGGAGGGCCTTTTTTTCTGCTATTTCTAGAAATCTGAGAAGTGGTTACCCAACCAGAGAATGTCAGTCTCACAGTTACCACAAAGTCACTTATTACGAGTTATTCCAGAGAGCAATTGCAAGCTGCAAAACAATCTCAAGCTCACCTCAAATCGTCAGTGACGGGCAGCTGAGGACGCACTTCCAGCCTTCGCCTCGCTCCTATTTGCACATGCACATGGGAAGAGCACAAATTAGCCTTATTTTTTGTAGGAGACTTGGTAGGAGAGAGAGGAACTGAAAATAAATAAAKAAAGAAAGAAAACATGAAAGGAATTTAACAGCTGCAAAGAGCCAAACTGGTTGCACAGGAGAATCCCCTGCCAACCGCTGGCTCTTTGCCTCTAATGAGAATGCAGAACATGCTCTGCTAGGTTTCTAATTCTTTGTGTAAAATCCTACAGATAATTGCTACACGTGTACCTTTCCCTTGTCTCCCGTGGAAGCGGATTTTTTTTTTCCTTGGAGCTGAAATTAAAAACAATTTATTAGAGAATAATTAATGCCAGAGGGCCGGGGGATTGCGACAAGCGGCGTGTCTGGAAGAAGAGGAGTCCGTCAGGAAGCTGTATGGACCTCAGGAAGCAAATTGGGGAAGGATGCGAGGGATCAGCTGAAGATTTCCTGGCAATGGGCTCTACCTTTGAACCACTATGTTTTTCTGTATCCTTTACAAAAACCTACCAACCTGGGAACAAGATTTTAGGGCAAAAGTAAKGCAGAATGGGGATAGCTCATGGCCCTGTAGCGCCCAGGGGCTTTGGCACTAGGGAAAGGAGTCATTTTTAGGAGCAGTCGCTCTCATTTGACCTCACATTGTTTCTTGTGTTTAAATTTTCCTGCACCATCACCTTGTCAAAGCCACCTGCCCCAAGGAAAAATGGTTAAAATAAGAACAGGAAAATGATTTTGAAGAAAGAAATGGAGAAGAAAAAAAAAAAAAAGCGGCATTTAATGCTGCTGCCAGGAGCTCCATGCCTTGTGCTGCAACTCCCGGGCTCCCCCCTGCCCCCCCCGAGCGTTAATTACAAAGCGGTCAAACTGTAAAGCCCTTAATGAACGTCTTAATTATTGCATTAAAGTTTGAAATGGAAAATTCCTCATTACGCGCCCTGCAGCAGGTCACGGCTGCAATAAAGGGTGGTATTTGGCTGGTTACAGCGCGGCCGCGAGGTGCCCTTTGCAGGCAGGGCCGTCCCTGGGGCACATCCCAGCGCCGGGACACGGCAGCCGGTGCCACGCAGGTCTCCCCGCTGCAAAAGCATCTGCTTCCCATGGGAAAGCATCCATGGAAAGTGCTGTTTGCTGCTTCCTTTTCTCTCCTCGGAGCTCTATTTTTCTCCCGCGCTTTGCTTCCCATCTGCTTGAATGTGTTTATTGATTTTGTGTTATGCAAGCTGCAATGAGCCCAGAGCCTTCCCATGCTCCAGAGCCTCTGCCAGCTATTGAATGTGCCCTAAATGATATAAAAATGATTCGACCTGTCGATCCCAACCCACAAGAGACGCCTCCTACAATTAAAGACCCTCCCCAGTGCCTGCTCCCTTGGGCACTATCCCCATCTCTGTCCCTGTCCTCCAAGGACAGGATGCAGAGGGGTCCTGGTCCCGCAGAGCTGCAGTTTTAGGACTCTTTCAAGGATCACCCCATTCTCTGGCACTTTGTACAGCTGGGGGACACCATGAAGGAATTAGGAAGATTTTCTGTTAATTGCTGCATGCAGGAGATGAGGCTTTAAAACTCCTTAAATGGCTATTTCTCATTGCAAAATATATTCTTAAGCCTTTTTTTTTTCCCTTTTTTCCCCTTTTTTCCCATTTTTCCCCCCTTTATTTTTCCCCTCCTCCTTCTCCCTGCAGCTGTGCCCCGATGCCACCGATGCCACCAATGCCACCGATGCCGCGGTCCGGACCCGGGTGCACATCGCAGATCTCGCAGCTCCCTCTGTTGGCACCTGCCCGCACGAGGCAGATCTCGCTGTCCGGATCGGGCAACGTCACCAGGATTTATATTTTTAAGGCCATACCAGCTGGGAGGAGATCCTTCTCCTTCTCCTTCTCCTTCTCCTTCTCCTTCTCCTTCTCCTTCTCCTTCTCCTTCTCCTTCTCCTTCTCCTTCTCCTTCTCCTTCTCCTTCTCCTTCTCCTTCTCCTTCTCCCTCTCCTTCTTTTCCCTCTCCTTTTTCTTGCATTCAATGAGTGTGAGTCTCTGCTATAACCACCAGAGAATCAGAGAGATTCTTTCTGGCTACAAGCAAGGGGTACGAGGAAAAGCAGAGTTTCTTTAATATGAAATTTCACATTTAAAACAGATCCAACAAAAACTAGAAGTGTAGTGCAGCAAAACCTTCCCAGCTAGAAATGTTGTGGGTGTCATTAGGAGTCCCCCACACACAAAAAGGCATTCAGAATCAGGCTCAAGTACATAAAATAGACAATAGAATTTGGTAAATTTAAAAATACATATAAATAACTTAAGACATTCAGGCTCAGAGGCATACATAGCCAAATATTTCCCTCTGATACGGGGAACAGCACAGATCCACATCTGGTACTGTGGATCCATAACACAGAAATTAGCGTTTCTGCATTTAATATAGGAAATGTATTTTGTATTTGACATAGGAAATGTGCCCATTGCAGGCTCTTTGGGACGTCTCCTGTGCCCCATTGAAGGCACACGGAGGACATACTTCATAACATAGAACGTTTTGGGAATTATAGATCCATAGTCCAGAACATGACCTGGTTTCATATACATTCACAGCATATGGCAAAGGATTTCTCAGCTGGCTCTGTACTGCCAGGGATATTTAATGGCAAAYTCAGCCATGGGGTGGGTGAGCGCAGGCTCTGGGGGTGCTTGCTCTCCGGTCTGGGGTTGTCTCCCTTGGCTTGGATCTGCTCTCCAGCCAGGAGCAAAGGGAGAGGAAGGAGCTGTTGGGCTCAGCCCTTGAGCAAGGATGGACCCAATGGGATCCAGAGGCAAACTCCAGTCCCAGCTCAAGCATGGCGAAGGCAACGTAGATGCAACCTCATGAGCAGGGTGCACAGCAGATACCCAGCCCGAAATCCTTGCTCGCTTGTGGGCTTCCCCTGCAGGAAGCCTCAACTTCATCAAATGACCCATTCTCTCCTGCACTCACCTGGCCCTCAAAGGAAGGCCCTCAAGGGACAGCTCAGGGCAGAGGGACCTTCATTTGGGTCATTCCTTGCATTTAGTTCAGACGAAACGTGTTGGTCGGCAGCCCAAGGGCTGGAAATCCTCTGGTGGCCACCGGACGGCAGAGCACGGAGGAAGCAGCTCCACAGGGATAGTGGTCGGTGGTCCATAATGAGGACATGGATTGTGGCACCACTCAATGGTGAGCAGGATAAGCTCTTTGGCTACACGGATACTTGCTCACTGGGCATGGACTGGGGCAAACCAGGCACATGGGACAAGTTCTCGCTGGTGACACTGCAGTGAATGGCCCTCCAGGCCATCAACCATCCCCTGAGCAAAAAGCAAACACTCCATTTCTTTTCTCCTGTGAGTTTCCTTCAGTCCCATTAGGTACAGGATCTTGTCGGGTTTTTCATTTGTTCAGTTTGGGGTTTTGGGGTTGTTTTGTTCATGTTAAAATTTTGCAAAAAGAAAATATGTTCTTTGGCACTTGTGCAACTATGACGCCTAGAGAGGACACTCGGCTTCCCTCCAAGGGCTTGCTGAGCGCATCCCTACAGCTCGACATAGGCAGAGTCCGTGTCCACCCGTTGGGCCTCTCCGAAGAGCAGGAAGGCACAGAGCCCCACGCTGTTGACGGCAGCCACCAGGTTGAAGACGGAACCCCAGGAGCCGGTGGTCTCGATGAGACAACCAGCCAGGTAGACGCAAACGACCCCTGTGCATGGGAGGGAAGGGACAACGCTGCCGGGACCGGGGACGGATCCTGTCAGGGGCTCCCGGGAAAGCGGGAGCCGCCGGGGGGTGCCTTACCGAGCAGAGCTCCTCCGGTATTTCCAACGCCTGGGAAGGAAAGGAAGGGAAATTGCTCAATGGCTTCAGCTGTCGGGAACCCCACGATGCGAGGGCTACACCGGGATTCCCACCCTGTGTGCTGAGCAGAATGCACTGGCAGCAAGGATGCTCCCATCCGCCTGCACACGCAGCAACTTCAGGAGTATGAAGGCATGGATCTGCTGTTACCACTACTGGAGTGGTGAGATCCAGTGGGAAGGAGGCTGAGGATGCAGGAGGTGCAATGTGCTCCACTATGCACCATCTCCTCCCACATGCATGACATCCCTTCGGAACAAACGGGACCCCGGGATCCTTACCGAACAGCAAGCCAGCACACGAGGGGGCCAAATCCTGCACGTTCACTGAGATGCCACTGCGGAGAAAAGGGGAGGGAAAAAAGGGCTGGTTTAACGGAACGTGATCCTCTTTGCCTTTGCACATGGTTCAGTTTGCTACACAAAAGCAGAGGATCCTAGAGATGGAATGGCACTGCAAAAAGACAAAGAAGGGAAGTAGCTGAATGTGAAGCTATGTGGAAGAGTAATAGAAGAAAGCAGATCTGAATAAAAGCAGCTCACTTAAAGTACTCAGAAGGACAAAATTCATGTTCTGCTTCATGCACTTATACCTGCCAGCCAGTTTCTAAACTCCACTGGCCTTGGAGGAACCAACCTAGGACACTGAAACCAGGGGTACCTGCCCTGGTAGCCCCCCATGAGGAGCTGTGTCCTCATGAGGACACGGCCAGTGTCCTCATTGCTCCCGTTACCTGTGGTTGAAGGTCTGAAATCCCACAGAGGCCGAGGCAAACACGATGGCTTTGCAAAAGCTGGATGTCTGCCCCAGGCACAGAGCAAAAATGCTCGACACACCTGAGCCGATGACCTGGGAGAAAGAGAAAAGTAAATGCCACAGCAGCATTTCTGTGATGAAGGAAGCAGCTCCTTGTGGAGACAAATTGCTCCCTTGTAAATATGCCAGGTGCTTCTCTGGCCATTTTCCCCCACTTTTAGGCTGTCTTTTTGGGTGCCAAAGGGCGTTATGCAGATTTTAATGCAGGTTTTGAAGGGTGAGCATTGCTCTCCCTGGCATTCCTGCTCCTGCTCATCTTCCCGTTGCCGTTTCCCGCAATATCCAACAGGCTCGAGTTGCGTTCGCGTGGCTTTATTCCTCTTACCTGCATGAACTTACGGATAGTGATGGTTTTATATCCTGGAAGAGAAAGGAATCAGAATGATGATTAAGGACAGTTCAATGTTCACCCTGTTCTCCAGCCAGGAGAGCACAGGCTAAACGCAACTTAGGACAGACAGAGCTCTTACCCTGGCTGACTAAATGATCAGACAGAAATCCACTGAACAAGCTGGTGGGAATTGCAACCAGCCACGGGATTACATTGAACACCCAGCCCTAGAAGGAGCAAAAATCCAGAGAAGAGTGCTATCAGAGAGGACACTGCTTGCTTTACCTGCTCCCTGTGGGAAGGAGGGAAATAAAAAGAGGGAATTCTTTACACCAGCTCCCTTGCTTTATGCATCCTGTGGCTGTCATGCAGAGGTGACTGTAGTGTCACCTTTATGTGTCTTTACAGAGCCCATCACCGTGCACGGTGACTTGCCTGCAGAAAGGCTGTGCCATCAGCAGGTGACACGATTTTGCCATAKGAGGGATTCCCGAGAATCCCGGGAAGTGAGCCCCAGCGAGCCACGTTTGATTAAAACCTCGGAAGCGATTATCAGGAGCAGGGAACATTATTATAGGGAGCCTCTTGCATAAGAGCACCACGATATAATGCCCAGCAGATGGTAAATTACTGCCAGGCAAGCACATTAGCGGAGGTGCACTGATCTCGCCGCCACAATATGTTTGCTGGTTTAATACAGGATTCCAATATAAATATCAAGTAGGCCATAAAGCGCCTTACAAATGTAATGTTAAAAGGCATTTGGAAGCAGCTCTGGGAGTTATTTAAAACCTGACGGAGCTGTTGTGGAAAACATCGGATTCAAAAATGCGGAGACACCAAAACAGCAGCCTGTAGCCCAGGTGAGAATTAACTCAGTTTCTGAGAAATGGGGACATCATTTGTGCTCAGGAGAGGGAAGCCGCAGCAGTGTATTTTAAAATACACATGATTGAGGGTAATTATAATTTTCTTGGGCTGCTCTGTCCCTACTCCACTTCACCCCTGACTTTCCATTTTCTTTCCACTTACCTTGGACTCGGGAAAGGTCTCCTTGAAGAAGGTGGGCAGCCAGGAGAGGAGGGTGAAGAACGTGCTGGATGTGGAAAGCTGAGCTACAATAACAGCCCTGAAAGTGCATGTTGGAGAAGAAAAAAACAATCAGTGACAACAGGTCATGCTGGGTGAAAAACAGGCATTCTGGCAAGCCAATATTTCAGTTCCTCGTCTATAAATAAATCGCTTGCAGCTCTGCAGTTGCTTCCTGAGGTTTTTGYATAGGTAACTACTATCCTCTTCATAGGACCATTGCAAGCAGCATTTCTAAGGAAAACAGCAGAGCGCCTCTCCCCCTGTCCCAGGGAGCAGCCAGCTATGSAGAAAGGTTTGCCAGCTACAGCCGAGCTTAACATCCCTCCATAAACCTCCTGTTGTCCCGGTCACTTTTTTACTTCTTCCTTTATGTATGTAGAGGAGATTTGAAAACTTGGTAGCATCTCCCCAACTAGCTAAATAAGTGGACAAAATGCAAACACACGGAGCAAATGAGCTCAAGGAGAGAGCAAGCCTTCGGAGGGACGGCGCTGTCGGTCCTTGYTGCTCATCGGCTCAGGATTGCACCACCTACCAGATCGGTGCCTTTCTGAAGAGCTGCTTCCAGGGCACTTTGCTCTGCTTGGACAAGGAGACGCCTCTTGTTAAACAATCCAAGGGAATGATGAGCTCTGCGAGGAGAAAATGCACCAAGGCAAGCGATGATCAGCCCTGCTGTGGGCCACTGGAAGGAGCAGCTTCTTTACAAGCATCTCTAATATATTTTTAACCTTATTTCCTTTGCAATACCTACATTGGATGCTGTTCAGAAAGCCTTACTGCATCAGCCCAGTTTCTTCCACAGTGTCCATACACTCCCCAGTCCGGCCACCTTCACCTATCTGTTATATTTCTTGGTACAGTTAGATAGAAATGTCTTTGGACAGGGAGAAGGTTTGAATTTTATACAGCACCTTACGAGCAGGGCTCAGCACACCACACTTGGATCGCACCTTAGCAGCATTTGTCTCTATGTGGGATTATTCCCTGACAGTAATTTGGAGCAGATATTCCAGATTATCTGGTCATAAGGAAGCTCTATGTGCAGACGTCCTTACTTTGGAATAAGGATCTTGCTCTGCTTTAGCTTAATCCACTTTGAAGCTCATGCTCTGCTTAGCATTTCCACTGGTGCCTAAGAGGATGGAGGGGTTAGATCAGACTCCCAACAACAGGGAAAATCCGTGTATGACTTTGACCTTTCACACTGCTGATTTTCTACCTCAGAAATCCCGGTTTTGGGTTTAGTAACTTGAGTCAGCCCTGCTGTGTGTTATACACAACGAATTTTGTTCGAGTCTCTTCGTAAAACCTTGGAAACTCGAGGGACTCACAGGCAAGAGCTGACCCGCTCCYGGAGGGATGCACGGCGTCGGATTTACCTTTCTCGTTCAGGAGGTACTTGCACGTGCAGTAAACCCAGAGCAAAGTGAGCAAGCCAGAGAAGTAGAAGACACTTTCCCAGCCGTACCAGTCCAGCAGGAGAGATCCCGCGCCGCCGATCACCAGCGTGCTGGAAGGAAAGGCGCTGCCTGAGGTCTCCTGGAATGCGGGATGAGCGGCGGGAGCTTCCCGAGGGGCAGCCCAGCCCGCACTCCAGCTGCTCCTCAACGTGCCTCCCAGAAGCGAAGCAGAAAGCCCTCACTTAAATCCTTGATGTCCTTGAGAGCAAACCATGTGTTCTGGAGAACGCAGACTCCCCAGCAACCCTTGTGCACGACAGCAACAACCTGAGGTTTCTTCATCTGCACCCAACATCCTCGAGGAGCCGGCAGCCCACGTGGATTTGAGGATGGGAGTTCTACCTCCAGCTATTAAGTGGCATCTCACGGCACAACTCCGTTGGCTCAAAGGCAACGCGACACTTACCCGACCTGGGAGCCGGTGCCCACGGTGCTGTAGGTGAAGGCACGTTCGCTCTCCCGCACTCTCTGCGACAGGAGGCTGGCCAGCGCAGGGAAATGCACCCCTGGAGCAAGGCAAGCAAGAGCTCAGTGGATTCCTCACTGCACGTGCACTTGTTCTCATAGCCCCTCACTATTGCTGCTCAGTAAAAGGGAAGGAAAATCATCCCAAAGGAGTCGGCGTTTTGCTTTCTACCTCGCAGCCCACACTATGCAGACAGATTTCTCCAGGGGAACAACTCACGGTGACTGCATCTAGAAATGACACTTCCTATTTTTCACTACAGAATTTCCAGATGTGAGGACAGTTTTGAGCCAGTTCAATGCCCCCACACACATGAGAATAATTTGTGCCTCACAAACCAAACTTGCATCCCAAGTTATTGCTCCATGCGGAAGCCCTTGGGCTGGGAAAGGCCCTGGCCATGGAGACGGCCCCGTCTCACCTTGCAGCAGCCCCATGAGGAACCGGGACGAGGCCATAAGGACCAGGTGTGCCGAGCTGAGGTGGGTGAGCAGAGGGGTGACGASCGTGAGGAAGCCCCAGGCTGACGCCGACAGCAGAAGGACCTTTTCACCTCCTATTCTGTGCGACAGAAAACATGCCAAAAATGAGCAGAGGCCAAAGGGGCCAAGGCTCTGGACAAGACCCAGGAGTGCTCATCCCGGCTTAGCTTGATTTTAGAGTGATTTTTCAGTCCAACTTGTTCTTCTCCCCTATAACCCTTTGAGGACGAGGGTCAACACAGCAGCCTCTGATGCAGGGGGATTCATCACTGCTGTTGCTGCTCCCTTTTTCTTGAATGATGACACTGTTTTCCCTTCCATTTGCTCTCTGGCATCAACTATACTATACTACTATGCTAACTATTTTTTTTTATTTTCTTTTTTATTTCTTTTCTGGCAAGAATTTGCTCACAATCTATTAAGGAGCACAGTGCAGCAGCACAAAGCACCACATGGATAATTATTCCTTCCAGGTATGTGTTTCTCACAAAAGGTTTTACAAGAAAGTGCTCCTCACTAAGGATGGGGTGGCTGGGGAGAGCAGCTCAAGCAGGTAATTACGGAGATCTTTCCTTAAAGCCAGCTGGGGTGGTTGTTTTTTTAATTGATACCATCAAAGGGAGGCATGTGCTGTTCCCAGATATGCCTGGACACAGGGATGGGGTCTTGCCTCTGAAAAGAGTGCCCAGAAAAACAGGGTGGAAAACCCAGCAGCGCTGATATGAGAATGAAGAACTCAGACCGGGCAGATCAAGCGGGAAAATAAAGTTGGATTCCTTGCAAAAAGGGAATATTTTCTTCCTCTGGTTAGCAATTTCAGCTACAAGCCATTCCAAGCTTCCATGCAACACCACGGGTATTTAATAGCTTTTTAATGGACAAATAACTCTCCCCATGAGCTATGCATAGCTGTGAGCTATGCAAGAGCATTACCATTTATCACTTTTCCAAAATAAGGTCTGCTTTACAGACGCTAAGTTTTTTGTTTTTGTCAGCTTAACATTTGTGCATGTGGGCCTTTTTTTTCTTTTTTTTTCTTTTATTTTTTTTTCTGTTATTGCAGTAACCGAATGGGTACTAAAAACTACCTCTATTAGAGACATTAGCTGGTCTAAAAGAGCTTTTCAATGTTTCCAGGTAGCAAAAAAAAACCACATTGGCCTAAGTGCCCATTAGTATAAGCTTTGCTGCAGCTATGCAGGAATTGTTAAAGCAGGAATTATTGTCTAGACACTCCCTGTATTTGCTGGAGGTTTTGCCTCTGCAAAGTCCTTCAGCGCATACCTATCTCTAAGTATAGCACCGATTTTAAGACCCAGGAATGTGGTCRGAGAGTCAAAAAGCAAAAAGTGAAGCGGAGCTGAGCTGGTGGGAAGAGCAGAGCCACATTCGGTGCAGTCTGGAGAGCCCCAGAGATCCCCTTAGCCCCCTGCCAGCCCTGAATTGCACGGAAAACACCACGGAAAAAGCCCGAGTGGAGGAAAGCATGAGAATAACTGCCCTTACCGGTCACTGATGTGTCCCCCGATGACCTGCGTCAGGCAGTAGCCCCAGAAGAAGCTGCTGAGCACGATGCCCGACTGCTTCTTGTCCCAGGCGAAGCGGGCGCCGAGCGCCACGGCGCAGATGGGCCCGGCCACGCGGGCGCAGTACAGCAGGCACGTGCCCAGCAGCAGCAGCGCCGTCCACGCGCGCCACTCGCGCCTGCCAAGGGGGACCGAGGGACAACGGGTGGCACGTCAGGAGCAGGCGAGACACCGCGTGCCACAACAGGGAGGTGCGACATGACCCAGCCTTTATTTTAGGTAATATCAATAATGCTGTACTAATAAAATGAGGTCCAGGTACACGCTATTTACACCGCTCTTACCCCATGGTATTCTTGGCCAGAGCACAAAGTGCTGGGGAAGCTGCTTTGCTCCGCAGCCGATGGCAGCGTTGGCTGTGCCAGGGCATTAACCTCCACGCTTTCCACGCCGCTAAGCAGAGCTGCCATCCGCCCGGGAAACAACCCGGATCACCCTTTCTCGCATTGAAATGAGCTTTTATCGCGCTGAACCACAAGTATGATAAATGCAGGTTAACCCGGCCCGGCACAAGGCCATTTATTGGCGTGTCGGACGGGGCGCAGGGGAACAATGCGGTGGCAACCACGCCAGGCCGCTCCGTCCACAGCAAATTAATTTATTGCTATTTCCTCCGATAAAGAGCTGGCGCCGACACCTGGCAGGATGAAGGGGAAGTGTTTTGGCTGGTGCATTGGAGGCTGGAGCCTCCTCAGGTGTGTGCAAGGGGAAGGAGAAGAGAGTGGGCTCTCCAGCTGCCAGTGATGCCCTTGGGGACCATCCTGGTCTTGCACCAAAAGGAAGATGTGCAGCAATAACATGTCAGTACATCCATGTTCTTCCGATATATTTTTGATGTCTCAATAGAGATTTATGACCAAAGCAAGTGGGGAATAAAAAGGAGGCCAGGGGCTGCTGCTTGCTCTGCAGGTAGCATATCCACTGGGAAAATCTACTCCAATCACCTGGGCATCCCATGGGATCGCCAGCCAGATAGATGGACAGGAGGGGCTTGCATCAGAGGAAGGAGCTCTGCAAACGCATTTTCTCCTAATTATAGTTATTGCGGAGGCCGCTGATGAGTCAACACTCGGTGCAAAACAGAGGCAACAAAGGTCAGGGAAGAAGCCTTGGTGAGCAAAAAGGGGGAGATTAAAAATATTTGGCCTCAAGGGTGGGATGGCAAGGACGTCCATCCTGCAGAAGGAGGTGTGGGCACAGGGCTGCAGCCTGCAACAGCTTGGCTGGCATCTTAAAACCTCCGGATAAAAAGCGCTATGGAAGCAGCCAGGCGGCTCCCAGCAGCACCAGRGTTTGTTTTTCTGCAGCCACGGAGAGGTTTTTGCCCCGTCCAGCTGCATCGGGCCCCCCCAAACCACTTCCCCTTCAGCCGCCCATCCTTGGCATCTTGGCGCTGCCGACCGGAACGGCGCCACGTGCGCCCGGCGCCGCGATCACCGCGTCGGGAATTGCTGCAATAGAGATAAGGAGCTGGCGGAGGTGACGGCTGCGCTCAGGCTCCTCCGCGGGCGGCAGATTCCTGCTGTTACCCGCAGAGGTTGGTTAAGAACCGCTTTGAAACCTGTCCTTTGTCATAGGTGTTTTGGTGGGAGTCTCTTGATTTGGAAAGTGGCTACTGGTGGGTCACATTTTGGGAAGAAGCTTGGGAAAYGCGAGGTTTTGTTCTGGCAGATCATGATGGCATTTCCACGAGGGAACAAAATCTACTGGGAAACTGTTGCCTGAAAATCCAGAGTGGAGTCTCCCCCCTTGGGCAGTTCTAGTGACACTGAGGGACAAGGTAGAAAAGCRAAGACAGGGAGAGGGAGTTTTGCTCAATTTCTTTGGAGCAGGGGATGAGGGACAAAATTCTCAACACTTTCAGCAGTGCCAGTGCAAAAGTGGGTTTTGGAGCTCCTGTCCCTACTGCTCAGGACAGCCTGTCGGGAGTGCACAGTGTCTGGGACTCGCAGGAGTCCCTAATCYGGGAGCCGCTCGCGCTGCTCTCGGGCTGCTCCGGGTCTTTCCCCTCATTCATTCCCGCTCCGGGGGCTCCTCCGTGGACGCCCGGCCGCGGGTCCCGGGGCAGGTTTCAACCCCCGCCTCAGGCCAGCAGCGAGTGTGGGGGTCCCGGCGCCCGCTCGGAGACGCTGGCTCCCAAAGGAGCCGGGATCTCGCAGGTGGCAGCGCCTCGTGTCACCCCACCTGGGGATCCCGCAGCAGGAGCCACCGTAAGGACCCCGAGGATAGAGGGGCTGGGGGGGATCTGTGTCACCCCTAAAAAAACCCTCCCTGCAGAGGGGCTGCGCGACCCCTCCATCCCCAAACTCCGCGTTTTCGGCTGTCCGTCCCCAAAAGCAGCTGTCCGGGGGCTGGGGGGGGGCCGCCTTACCTGGACCAGTGCGTCCCGGCGCCCCCATCGCGCC